GCTATAAACAATTAATTCTAATATTAACTATATTTGACAGAATTTGTTTAGCATTTGTAAAAAAAAATTTCTAATCTGTCCTAATACTTTTATTTTACTAACTTAAAAACAATCCGAATTTGTACAAGGTGGTATTACTGGCGATTTTAAACTTTCGCCGCGGTCCTTCTGAATGTCAAAATGATGTGTTTGTTGTAATATGCATTCGCCTTGTATACAACAAACACATCATTTTGACATAATTGTCTTGACAAATATTGTCCGGTGTAAACTCTAAGTAACACCACCTTGTATAAATTCGCCTTGACGACGAGTAACACCACCTTGTATAAATTCGCCTTGCTTCAAAACTACTTCAAAACAAGGCGATCAGCTGGTTCTTCGCCTTAAATGAATTTTGTTTTTGCTTTTACTGATTTGACAGCACACCCATCAAAAGCAAAAACAAAATAAATGTAAACTTTGAGGCTAATTGAGATTTGTCATAACCTTTAATACAAAGTTTTGTTGTATTTGCTCTATCGCTACCACCTTGTATAAATTCGCCTTGCTTCAAAACGTGCAAATTAGTCACCAAGGCAAGATGCAAGGCGAATTTATAGAAGGTGGTGTTGTAAGATCAGCTGATTTCATCGCCTTAAATGTATTTTGTTTTTGCTTTTACTGATTTGACAGCACACCCATCAAAAACAAAAACAAAATACATGTAAACTTTGGGGCGAATTGAGATTTGACATAACACCCACAATCCAAATACATGTGGTTGTTCTTGTTGTAATCTAAATTCGGCAGTAACACCACCTTGTATAAATTCGCCTTGGCAAGATGTGTTTAACAAGGTGGTGTTGGGGCGACAGCTGAGTTTTTCACCGTGAAAAGCATTACATCAAAATGATGTGATTGTTATAATTCATACTAACATTGTGCGTATATTTTGTTAATGTAATTTGTTACTTATATACGGCTAACGGCCCCGTCAGAATGGGTACTTTGCGTACGTTCCGCTCAAGGATGAAACTTGACAGCTGGCCTGTTTCATGTGCCTTGCTAGAGTCTGATATTGTCCCTGCATATAAGGTCCTGTGAAAATAAGGATAAACCAATCGACGAACCAAATTTCTCAGGAGGTGACTCCAAACAACAAATCCAAAAAAAATCCGTTTTTTTTCTTGTTGCATTATTTTCTTTTCTTCAATTTTCGATGAAATGCTCTTATAAACTGAGAAAAAATGTTGTTGAAGTGAAATGAAAAATAAATGGTGTATGCTTAATACTTATTATTTGCTCAAATATTATTCGAAATTAAAGCACACTTACACATTTCACTTTTTTCTACTAGCTTATTTACTTTAGTAATTAATACATATGAGAGGAGTGCCAAACAGCCAAAAACTAAGCACTTTCTAAAACAAAAAACATTTTTTTTACAAATTTCTTTAAAAAAAAATCTATAGTATAGTATAGTAGAGCATCTAGATGCAATTCTGTATCAAACAGAAAATTTTGAAAATATCTCGCTTACGTTTTTTTTGCGTTTAGGGTTCGATATAATATATAAAGCAATTCTGTATGTAACTAATTAAAGTTAAACTGTTTTCACAGTCAGATGTACACAGTTGCCATTATACAAGAAATAGTGACATCTTATTTTCGAAAATTTTCGTGTTTTTCGTTTTGCTTGATGATACATTCTCCCAGGTAGAGTATGTTTTTCCCAGCTCATATATGCTCATACATATGTATTTCTTTACACATGATATGTGATTTTCCAACTGCTGCTCCTCTCAAAGATAATATTTATAAAAAGAAAAACTTGAAAATTGTCAAAAATGAAAGTATCATCTTTTGATTAGACACTCCTCATGCGAACTATGTGTAGCCGTGCATTCTATGTAAATACATATTCTATAAATTGAAGTACGTTAGTATTTTATACGTAGGGGGCGTCAGGCTTTTATAACGGCCGGAATTTCGTTCGACAATTTAACTTTTGACTTTATTTCTGTTATCCAATCTCCTTTAACAGACAGGAAAGAAAAATATTCCTGTAGAGGTTTCCTGTAGTTGTTATCCCTCCTGCTATGATTTAAAACCCTTTTTGGATTTTTGTGCAGCATGCCATTGTTGTTCCTATAAAAAAATAACCGTGTAAATACATGTACATGACGACGATACATTCGTAGATATGATTCAATAATTAAAGGTTTGCTCATTAGTGACATTCGAATTTTCCCTCCCTTAACCCCTTTACACTCACACAGTAAGGGAGCCGATTTTGTCAAGAGGGGGCGAGAAACTGTTTTTTGAGCAAACCTTTCATTATTGAATCATGATTCGTAGATACATATGCACATACATATTTCGTTCAGTGTAATTTATGTATGTATATTAGACTGCATCACTCCCCATACAAAAAAAAAAATCGTTTCTGTGTTTGCATTGGAATTATAAAACCTACTATATTTTAAGATTTGCACCAAATATTTCGGAAAAATATTAAGATTTACGTGAGCTGGACCGATTTTTTATTTATATATTAATTTATTCAATCAAATGGAATACAAATCCTTACTGACTAAAGCAAAGGAGCATTAATACTACCAACAGTAATTTATCAGGACACAACGTACTGTTCCAAATGAGAGAGATGGATCATATTCCGAAAGCTCATTTAACTCAGAGAGGCTTCTAAAAAGAGGCGAGAATATCACATAGTTGGATTTCGAAAATCCCAAATAAAATAATGAAACACGCCGCAAGTTAAGAGACGGAACATTTAAAGATAACTTCTCCAAAACGTAGAGCAATCGACAGTGCCTTCCACTATTTTAGCCACAAAGGAGGCAGCGAGGAATGAGAGCCCACTATTTAATGAATTTAAGCCAAGGAGTTGACAACGAGATGCATACGGGGGTGCAGGCTCCGAAAACCTCTGGGAACGCAAGGCAAATTTGATAAAAACTTTTTCAATCCTTTCAATCCGGTTTGTATAGAGGGACTGATAGGGTCGCCAAATGAAGGTCGCATATTCTAACCTAGATCTCATCAAAGTAATATACAGAAGCTTCAGGGTATAGGGATCCTTAGCATAAGCTTTGGAAATAACGTAATTAATATGAGTTGAGGTTACTTTTAAGTCAAAATATACTCCTAAATCTTCAACCTCAACGACAGATCTAAGATCGTAACCGCCAATATTATACTTGGTTTGAACAGGAAAAAGCTTCCTGGTGAAAGTAGAATAGGAGCACTTACTAAGGTTCAGAGATAAACAATTAAGAGAGCACCATGAGTGTAGGCTATCGAGCTCAGATTGCAACAAGAGAAGATCCAAGATACTACCTTGAGGGACACCCGAAGTAGCAATAAAATGATTGAAAAGTATATTATCGATGGCAACTGTACAACACCTGTTGGAAAGTTAGGAACTAGGAATGTTAATCCCGGGATCTCGAAAATCCCGAGAATCTTGACAAGTAATCCCGGGATTTTCGGGATTTGTAATTTGCACTGATGGCAATAATAGAAACTCCTTTTCTTGACCAGTATTGGCTATATTTCTTTTCTTGTTTAATAATTAGTACTTTTTTTTTTATAAATCTCTAGCTCATTGTGCATATAAAACTGCGCGATAGTAAATTTTAAACACAAATACATATCAATATATTCGCAAACCATGGGCCAAATATAGTATAATTGCGTTTTTATTTTTTCACTCTGCCGTCAGTAATTCAAAAATGATTTAAAAATTTCAGAGANTGTTTTTCACTCTGCCGTCAGTAATTCAAAAATGATTTAAAAATTTCAGAGAAATGTGCTTAGAGAAGAAGTGTGGGTATAAAATTAATGAGGAGATCCTGTAGAATTAAGGCATAATCAAGTTTCTAGTGCAGAAGGGCTGATAAATATTGAAAATGTAATTTTAAAATTTTATCCTTGAAATTTCGCATTTGTTCGAATTACGTTCTTTTAACTTTGTCAGCTTAAAAATTACCTATTCGTCTTGGTGAATCCAAAAAAATTAAATTTTTTTTAAACTCTAAAGAAATTTCCTATTGCATTTGTTACCCATATTTTTATTCTACATTCATTGCATTGATTTTTTTTTAATAATTTTTGGAATTAATCATATCTTTGAAATTACAAAGTCCTTCAAAATAAATCCTGCGGTCAGAGAGAAATACGGTGCGAATACCAACATGTTTCAGCCAGGGTTGTGCCTGTAAAATGTTTATATTATTTACAATAATTCTTTACTTGTAAATTATTGTAAATAATTGTAAAAAATGTAAATAATTTACAATTTACAATTGTTTACAATAGTGGAATTCGCGCTTCTGTGTATTTGCTGTATCCTTCGTAAGTGTAACTGGATCTACCGCTAGCAACAATAAATCACACGCTCATGCAGTAACAATTGCACAAAATACAACGAATACACAGAAGAGCGAATTCCCCTAATATTTTACAATATTTACAATAACTTACAATATTTTACAATTATTTGCAATGTAAGTGTAAAAGAAGGAAAAATTTGTGTAAGTTCACAACCCTGCTTTCCACTGATACCTCATTAGTCTAAATCGGAATAGGTTTGGCCCAGTTATTCAAGTTTTTTTTTTTTAACCAATCTTTGAAAGAAGTTAAAAAACAGCATAAAAAATCTCATTATTACGATTCCATTGAAATGATTTTTAAATATTTTTATGCAGATTTTTCAATCATAAACTGATCTGTCATCCGAGGGGATTTTTTCAAAAAGTTCTTTAAGAAACCATTTTTATTAATAAAAAACTCCATTTTTGGATGTATTTTCAAATCTGTCCAGCTCACTTAAATTTTAATATTTTTTCGAAATATTTCGGTGGATGTCTTTAAATATAATAAACTTTGTAATCCCGGCGAAAAAACCGCAACTTTTTTGGTGATGCACTCTAATATATATACATATGTATATTCTGTGTATTTGTACTTACTTGCAAGGATATATACAAATAATTGAAACTAAATAAAAAGTTTGAGGGTCACAATTATCTACATTCCATCTCATTTTACAATATGTAAAGAATTAAATTATTTGTCCATTTTAAAAACTAATTGTCTGTCATTTCGGCATAGTTGGTGGCTTTGAAGTTTTAATAATCCGATGACCAGGAGCTGAAGGTGAAAGACTAAGAGGAGAGGGCATATCATGACGTTTATCTTGAATCGATAAAGGAAGAAACTGTTGTTGGCGTTTTTTGCTTAAATTATTAATATTATGATTATTTTCACTTTTTCCAAATAAAATTGCTAAATGAACTGCACAAAATACGCCCAAACTCTGAAAATGGAAAAAAAATATATAAATACATATGTAAATGCTTGTAACTTAATATTCACATTAAAAATTGCTGACAATAAATACTTATGTACATATCTGTTGCATTTTATTAAAGTAACTTATCTGGACAGAAGCCATTTTCCCCTAAAAACCAATATTTAATTTAGTTCCCAAACAATATCTCAACGATTAACTAGCCATTGGTGTAGTTAGGGATGTCCTTTTGTTATAAACTTAGTAAAAATATTAAAATTTTTAAGCGAAACTTACCTATTATTTTTTAATTCAAAGTCACACCTTCTAAAGTCACTTAAGTTGATTTAATAAAATGCCACAGGCATATATACATAAATATTTGTTACCTGTAAAACAGCGATTGTTGCTGAGCCTAAAGACGTTAGTAGTAGTCGGTTTCTAATTTGCTCAGATACAACGGATAAACAACCTCGTTTATAATGAGTGTCACATGCGGACTCATAAGCATGTTCTGGTCGTGAGCAGCAAGACCAAGGAAGGGAGAGCCGACGATAATCCAGGGGACCATCTACGCCACAGCACTGGAGCTGTAAAAATTTAGGTAGGAGTAATTTATTAAGGAAAAATTTCAGTTGTGAATGTCTTAAACAATTTACATATTTATGCACATTGTACATACATATACAAATATTGGCAGTTCCTCTTATACATACATATGTGCGTACATACATATCTGTAGACGTTTAAGAAAATCACATATCGACGGTACTACGACAAAACCTCGTATCTCAGAAATCGCTACTACTTCGTGTCTCGTAAAATTAATTCGAAATGGGCCTTAAAATATTACGAGTAACTATATATTATTCTTAATTAACTCAAAAGTACTCAGTATTTAATATTCGGTAGAAAAGTTATCAAAAATAATATTCTGTTATTAATGGAAAGTGTTTTTGAGAGAGAGTGGTTTGAGATACGAGGTTTTGCCAAAGTACCGTCGATATCTTTAGCTCTTATCGGCAAAAAAAACTGGTACCAAACACAAAAGATAGTACGTTAATATGTATAGGCTCAACCGAGATCGCTGCGAACTCGCCAATACACGGATATAGGCGAGTACCTAATCGTCTACTAATCGCAGCTTTAAGACAACGCAAAGCAGACATTCTAATGGTTTACGAATTCAGAACAACAAAACTTTGTGCAAAGTGTTTTAGCATCAACCAAACGTCCAAATCGCCCAACGGGTACCAATTTTGTCCAAATTGCCGCACCTGTTGGAATCGAGATGTCAATGCTGGGGAAAACATACTATAGTTTTTATATGGGGAAAAAACAACTTTACCTAGAAATGGTATAGAATAGTTAAAAATCTATATTTTTCTACCAGAAAACTTTACTTATCTGCAGGGGACTCCCAATAGCAATACCCAACTGTTTATTTAACCATTTTTTCATCGCAACTTTAAGTTATAGGTCAGCCAAAAACCTACAAAAACCCAGATAAATGCTATGGGGAGACCAACAATCGTTAGTATTAAAAAATGGAGAGAAACAGAGTTTTACGATCGAAAAATATTGATTTTCATGAATTCTATACCGTTTCTACGAAAAATTAAATTTTTCCCATATAAAAGTACATGGACGGCTTTGAGCGCTTTGAGCGACCTCTATATATTTTTTGATTCTAAAATAAAAAATAGGGGTATACTTTTTTTCGATACAACCCTAGGGGGTGAGAGCATTACAATGCCGACTTTAATGTTTTTGGACCGCCCTAGTGTACATTGACTGTGAAAACGATTTAACTTTAATTAAATGGATATGTATGTCTCTTACAAATGTATGTATCTAAGCATGTATTTTATATAGGTATTCATTTGTCTGTGTGTTTGTATGTATGTATGTATATATATAAATTAAGTAAAAATTACCTGCGATTGCATACGGTTCCATAAATGCAAATTGTCAACCTTTGTCCTAGAAAATTTATCAAGGAATTCAACAAACGAATCATCTATGAAAATTTCTACAGAAGTTGGAAGGCTTTCACGCATTGCCAACGACCAGCCACATATGAAGAATTGAAAGCAAATGCATCCCACGAGCGCTGCTATGAACTACATAAATATGTGTTTTGAAAGAGAGAATAGAATTTTCGAATGTTGCAATTAGGATTTATAGGAAAGTAGCTCAGTAATTGTGTGGTGTGTTACCGTTCCCAATAAACATCGCTTCCTTTGGTTTGTGGCTTGGCATCCCATCCAGCAAAGAAGAAATGTAATTGGTCCTAAACACAAAAGTATTGCAGCTGGCGCCCATAGTCTATTTTGGACAATGCCGTAATAACCAGAATGACCCCATAACAGAATTGTACCAACCAGGATTTGGGCAGCACCAGTTACCTGAAAAACAGTGCTTACTTCAGCTACTTGTGTACTTAGTATATATAAAAAAGGTAAAATATACAATGTTTGCTCAAACATATGTTGCACATATACTGTGTACATACATATGTACATATGCACATAAATGTGTCCCCAATATACATGTATGTATTGCAGGACCAAACGCTGCCACACGAATCAGCTATATGTATGTATGTACATGCATGTTTCATTTTGTTAATATCTACTGATTTTTTCTTTCTTCGTGCTAGAAGCAAACGTTGTCCATTTTATCCTTGAATGTTTTATCCTCACTGGGTAAGGAATTTTGCAGTGCTCAAACTTTTTCCACGTCATAAAAGTCTGAGTATCATTCGATTTACTTACGTACCATTAAGAGCACGACGTAGCTGTAAACTAAATATTTAAAACATTTTATTCGCTTCGTTAATGCCATCATATGCCAAGACTTGCACTGAACGCGAAGTTTAGGTGGTAATTCATTTACAAATATGTAGATATATGTACAGTGGAACACACGAAAAGAAGGAATGTAATTATTATCCAATAAACTCTACGGACACGCTCACGAATTGGTCTTTGCACAAAAATGACCTTAAACTAGTTACTTTCAAATAAGTGTTTGAAATTTAAAAAGTTTCGAGTGTTTCAACATTTTGAGAAACTGGAAACCTAATATTAAATTAACCAATATTTTCCGTGTCTGAAAATTCACAAATTCTCTTTCAGTTTGCTGTGATTATTATGTATAAGAAAGCACGATAAGCGAAATCAGTTTGATAAACTGTTTGACTTTTCCTGTGCTTGTGTTGCTGTCCTTCAAGCTTGCTCTCATGCTCGTGCACAGTTGCGCTCGTAGTTGAAGTTCGTTTAAGCTTGTCATATTATCTATAACTTAAGCATTGCAATGACTCGAAAAAATGGTGCCACAAAATAAAATCCCGTCCTAGTTTTTCTCTTGAATTTTGAACTTTGTATTTTCTAAATTTAAAAAACAGATTTTTAATAATTAAAAAAAGGTAACTAAATAAAAAAATGGAAATGTTGCTTTTTGCTCTGAAATAAAGTTTTCGAAAGTCGTTTAAAATTGGTTAGTATATTTATTCTTGTAACTTATAATTGATTTTAATATATACACACATAGCAAACGTATAACATTAAAGCTAAACTGTTGCCAGTCAGATGTACACAGTTGCCGTTATACAATAAATAGTGACATCTTATTTTCGAAAATTTTCGTGTTTTGCGTTTTGCTTGATAATACATTCTTCCAGGTAGAGTATGTTTTTCCCAGCATTGACGTCTCGATTCCAACATGTACCACATTTTGGGCAAAATTGGTACCTGTGGGGCGATTTGGACGTCAGGTTTATGTTGTAACACTTGGCACAAAGTTCTGTTGTCCGGAATTCGTTCACCATTAGAATGTCTGCTTTGCGTTGTCTTAAAGCTGCGATTAGTAGACGATTAGGTACTCGCCTATATCCGCGTATTGGCGAGTTCGCAGCGATCTCAATTGAACCTATACATATTAACGTATCTACTATCTTCTCTGTTGGGTACAAGTTGTTTCGCAATGTGGTTACAGGCCTTTTGTCGACAAATGTATTTCTTCAGCTTCAGCCGAGCCACCTTTCTTTGCGGGAAAATTTTTTGTTTTTGCTCCAGTATTTCCAAATTCCAGTATTTGAAAATTTTAATCGACACAAGAGTTGATAGAAAGCCAATCGATCGTATCTCACGTGAGGACAACTGTGTTTCATTTGCGGAATTAGTGAAAAATTGTGTATTTCATTTATCTCGTTATACCGTTGTAGGTTGTAAAATAATTCTATACAACACCAAAATACTTTTACGTTCCCTATTTCGTGTAGTTTATTTCCGTTCCATTTTAAATCGGTACTTATACGTTCTAGTAACGCTTCATCGGGGATATTTTTTGAACTTTATTCCAACAGGTAGCTCAGTGTACTATATACTTTTTTTTTGTCGTCCTCAAATTTAAAATATTTTCACAGCCGAGTATATGCGTGCATCCAAGCAAATTCGACCGATACGAACTATCATACAACTTGAGGTTTTTTCGCAGCATATTATACTCCTGGTCTATTGTATATTTTGATTTTTTTTTTACCATCAGATGGTAATAACAGTCAAGAAAATTCATTGCGTCAAAGTTTCCTTGTACCCAACATTTCATCAGTGTAAAGTGAATGTATCTTGATACCTCGACGGTATCGATATTCGGCTGTAAGCCTTCTTAATAAAAATATAAAATTTGATACCCAAATTCCAATATATCTTTCATTTTATCAATTAAGTTGAGTTAAGTTTTCAAACAGGAGCAACCCTGCTCAAAAATATTTTCGACTGTAAGCTTTCTTTAAACTCTTTAGTTTGATACCCACATTGCAATCCATCTGCATGACAGCCCGAATATGCCGCAGTTTTATTTCGGCTGCTTCACTGTCTATTAGATTAAAAGGTGACAGAGGTGATTTCAGATGAGTTCTACTATACTAACTACTATGCAGATGAGTTGTACTGCAAACGAATCCTAAAATTTTAAATTCGCTGCTGAAAGGCTTACAAAATCTGCTGCTTCACTGTCTCGCTGTTTTCACGCGAGTTAAATCTGCAAGGAATTAAGAATAAAAAATTTTAGTTTAATTTATTAGATTAAAAGTGTGACAGGCTGGCAGTACATACATAAATTTCCACCACATAAATTTCCACTTCTGTAATTAAATATAACTTTTAGCTTTGTTTTGTTAAACTCACTCAAACTAACATGCATGACCGAAATCAGGTATAAATCTGGTATTAGTTTAGCGAATTTTTTGGACTTAGTAAAGAATAAGCCTACTTTTTATTCAGCTTATTCTTGACTAAGGGCTGGAATTTAGTTTGGCAACCCCGGAGTTCCGCATAAAGGTAGCTATGGAGTGGTAGAATAGAATGATTGCATATATAAATTTTTTAGCTTATAAAGTAAAATTCAAGGCGTTTATATCGTAGCCTAGCAAAAGCCATAATAATAATAATAACAATAATAATAGTAATAATAATAATAATAATAATAATAATGAAACTATTTATCATTTTATGAATCTGAAATCTTCTTCTTATTTGGTGCTGTAACCTCCCAAGCGATTTTGGTCGAGTTCAACAAAGCACGCCAGTCGTTTCCTTTTTGTGCCAACTGACGCCAATTGGAAATGCCAAGTGAAGCCAAGTTCTTCTCCACTTGGTCTTTCCATCGCATTGGGGGCTTCCCTCTTCATCTGCTACCTCCAGCGGGTTCGGACTCCATTCGAACGACATGGCCAAGCCAGCGGAGCCGCAGCTCATCGCTCCATCGTCTGCGGTACTCGCCGTCGCCAACGCATAAAGGGCAATAAATCTTCCGCAAAATCTTTCTTTCGAATACTCAAAGAGCCGGCTCATCGGATGTTGTCATTGTCCATGCTTCTGCGCCATATACCAACACGGGCATGATGAGTGTCTTATAGAGTGTGGTTTTCGTACATCGAGATAGGAAATTACTCCTTAATTGCCTACTCAGGCCAAAGTACCATTTGTTGGCAAAAGTGATTCTGCGTTGAATTTCGATGCTGACATTATTATCGGTGTAAATGCTGGTTCCCAAGTAAACAAAATTCTCCACTTTCTCGAAATTTTAACCGTCAACAGGCGCGAATGTGCTGACTGTTTGTTTGAAGACAAGAGATACTTCGTCTTGTTCTTTTTGACCACCAGACCCATTCGCTTTGCTTCCTTATCCAACTTGGAAAATGCAGAACAAACCCTGCGGTTCTTGTTACCGATGATTTCGATGTTATCGGCGTACGCCAGCAATTGCACGCTCTTGTAAAAAATTGTTCTGAAATCAGATTAGAAAAATTCAATTTGGCGGACTCAATATGGCGACCAAAAAAATCAAAATCGTTTGGATTCGCTTAAATTTTACAATTGGAGGTTCACAAGGTCGCTGATTATGAATCTGGAATGAGATTTTAAAAACCCCAAAATGGCGGATCCCATGGAATCTACCATTTATCACGGCAAAGTTAACATCGAACGCACGTACACGTCGTATGAGTAACATTCCCACCTCGTCTGGGTAACTCATACGTCATGTAGGTGCATTCGATTTTAACTTTTCCGTTATAAATAGTAGATCAAATATGGATACATTTTGAATTTCTGAAATCTGCTTTCAGGTTCGTAGTCAGGGACCTTAAGAACCTCCAATTGTAAAGTTTAAAGCGAATCTAATAGAAGTTGATTTTTCCGCTGGTTAGAAAAAAACTGTTTCTAATTTAGATGTTGCTCTGATCAGGGATTTAACTCAGGCCCTAAGGAGTGGTAGTATGCACCTCTAACAACTTAGCTACACCGGCCACACAAAAAGATTGTAAACTTTTTCACTAGACCTGTTAGACGCTCAAATTACCACTTCAGGCAACTTTGCTAACGTTTGGCATAGGCCTGAAACCGGGGCTTCGGAGCAAAGGTTTTTTCTCGCTCCGGTATTTTATTTCGCTCCGAACTCCACTCCCGCTCCCAATAAAAACCTTTTGTTTTATTTATTTAGTTACTTAGTACATATCGAGCCCTAACCGATAAAAAATTGTTTTTTTTTTTTTAATTGCCTCTTGTTGCAGCTATTTATTTATATGATCCCAATGAATTTTGTCTTGTAAATAAAATGATAGATATTAACCCAGCCAACAAACAATCCGAAAATGGAAAAGTGGATGAAATGCGGATTTTTGTCCGTTTACCGATTCGATTTTCGGATACTTTTATGATCCGTTTTTCCACTAAAGTGTGCAGCAGAAATGTATGTACAGAGAAGAACTGAAAATTGTTTTGGCTGTTTTTCTGAAATTGTTCTTATTGCATATTTCGTTCAATACGCTTTTCTTCTGCACTTCACAGATGCTTTTTCATGGTTCATGCATTCGAACCCGACATATTCTGAAAGCTAACAAATACTAACACGCTCCTCTGCACGCCCTCAGCCACTGCCGACTACGTATACATGCTTTCAAATGTTCAGCTTGAACAAATAAAATACGTGTTAATTTCGATAACTTTTTCTTTCAAATAACGTCATCTTCTTCGAACGAAAATTTTAGTCGTTTTCCGTTCTTTTCCGGATACGGAGAATTGTACCAGGCCGCACTGTCGGCAAAATTTACTGCCTCGGAAGTCATTGTTTTTTCATCGCCGTTCAAATTGACGTGGATATTATCCTTGACTGCTAGGCATTGTGCAATGAACAGTATTGCCAAGTAAAAATAGAATGACAATTTATTTAACATGGTTGTTTTCAGTGGCAAAAAAAATAAGTTTAATTTTATTTAATGAGCTGAGGAGCAAATTAATTATAGCTCTTCATTCCAGCTCCGCTCCTGCCAAAATCCTTTGCTCTTTAGCTCTTTGCTCCTTTGCTCCGCTCCTGCCCTAAAGAACTGTGATTAAACTAAATAAAAAAAAAATAATAATATTTCCCTATCCCATAGAGTTAATGTTGATAA